TTTTAAGTCTGTTGGTTCTTGTCTTTGGGAGAAGCAACCTGTCACTGAACAGACTCTTCTGGTTGTTTATGGCCGTGTGCAGAGGATGCCCAGCATTGTCCATAATGTCCAGTAGTTTCTTTAGTGTCCTTGTTTAGCGTGCTCACTTTAAGTTCCCGTTTATTCATCGTGTTATTTTTTCACCTTGTGTAAATAAAGTCCCTTTCACTTCACACGTGCTTCTCCGCGTGCTGTCTGCATTAGACTACGTCTACACTAACCCAGATAGATTTGAAAACGCTGTTTTCATCTGAAAACGCTCCGTTTCCACACTAGTGTTTTCCAGTCGTTTTCACAGAGTTGTGCGTCCACATTGAAATGGCCGAAAATGCTTACGTTCCAGTACTGCGCATGCGTGAAGCGCAAGAAGATTCAGCCTGCCTCATTTCTATCTGCCGTTTATTTACTTTCTGGCTCTTTGAAACGTCGCAGCAAAAGGTCGAGGAAAAGCACCGAGTTTTTAAATGGACTAACAATGAGGGGGAGTTGTTGCTGCGAGTAACACAAAAGTACAAAGTTGCAAAAGCGAGTGAGAAATAAAGAATTTGAAGAAAAGCTATCTGGAGCATGTACAGACTGATATTAATCTTTAACAGGGCTGTCAAAACTGAGAGCAAACAAAACAACTGCTGTATAATGCCCTCCGCTATCTTTGTTTAATTGGTCACATGACTGCATCACATGACTAAAATGCGTCACCGTTTTAGAAAGTCTGCGTTTTCCCTGTCCACACTGCGATGCAAACGCACCGTCTTCAAATGTATTCTTTTTCGAGAGCATTTTCAAAACGCGGCATTTTCCTTGAGCAAAAACACCGTCTCAGTGTGGATGGGAGGCCAAAACGGAGAGAAAACGATGCGTTTTCAAACGAAAACACATTAGTGTGGATGTAGCCTTAGAGTCCTCCCTTACCCCACTCTCAGCCGTGAAAGCTTTGTTCTTCTAAAGCCAGCTACCCATATCAAGACAGGCCATCATTTCCTCACACCCAAAACATTAAAGATTTTTCTTCCTAGACCAGAACAGAACATCAAAAATGCTCAACCCCAAATCAGAAAAGACAGACAGAAGTGGTGCTACATGGCTCAGTCCACGACATCTGCTGGAAAAATAACCAAAAATATGTCCAATGTCACAGCATGTCCAAGAGGTTTTTAGGTTTTGGAAAGTTGTTCTCTCAAATCTTTGAAACAACAACATTTTTTCTTTAGGACTTTTTCAGAAATATAGGGTTGTGGATTGTGTGGCCTGAACTTTAGAAGTTAAACTACAAATGTCTGATCTGACATTAAACACTCTTTCAAGTTCCGTCTCTTTAGTGCAAACCCTGCGTAATAATAATGACTGCACTATTGCAATCGGGGGATTCACAGCCTGTCAGTAGATATCTTTGTAAAAGTTGAGAATCATGTCTCGACCTGACGTTGGGATTTTAGGCCATTGAGTTTTCAAAGGGATCACAAAAAAATGCTACACATGCCCATGCGCTCTTTCTATTCATACTCGTAGCCTTAGGCTCAGGAGTGTCTGAGACGAAGGCAGGTGAATACATACAATTCCTGCTGGTTTGTCTCACATGCCATTGAAACAAACACTAACAGTTTGCATTGTTTTGGACAGCTTATATCTGTACTTTGTGTGGGAAGATTGAAAGCTGAAAAAAGATTCCAAAAAAAGGCAACCTTTAGCAATAAGGCACTTGAAGAGCCACACTTCACTTACAAGTGAAGTGTGTGTGTGTGTGTGTGTGTGTGTGTGTGTGTGTGTGAGTAATTACTGTAATTATGAGGTGACTAATCAGTATTGGAGACATGCTGTGGTTTGTCGTGGGCATCATAATCATACAAGACCCTGGCCTTCCTGGCACCCGTGACGGGCAGCTGTGACTGCTCCATGGCGAGTGTGACCGGCTTCTGG